ATATAGACGCTATCTATCATTCAACTAATTCTGACTCTCAAAAAAAAAATTAGTTTTTTAAAACTTACCACACTTTTTTCTTTTTTTCATTTCTGAAAGTTAAAGCTTTGATCCAGGATTTAGGAGGCCTGATGAAATGGCAGAAGTGCTGTCATGGTCTTTGGAATTCTTACTCCTTGTATTACATGCACAAGGACTCCAATATACTTCCCTCAAGTTCTAAAAGTAAATTTAGAACATTTTCTTTAATACCTTCATGTACAAAAAAAATTATCAAATAAAGTAATAGAAGTACAAGTAATCAGTCAAATTGAATGTAAAGCAAATGATATAAATTTACACCCTTAGAAAAAAAATATGTGCATATACATGTATATATATCTGTATATAATTTATTAAAGTTTCTAAACATTATAAAGGTTAATAAATTGAAATACATGTAATTCAAAATAATTTAAATGTATATTGCATAAAATTTAATACCTGCAATATATGTTTATTCTTTAATTGACTTCTTTTTATACATAATCCACTGCTTGGTTTTCTGTTTCTCTTTTACTGCTGGTAAATCTACTGCACAGCAACCTACCGGTAATTCCTAAAATTGCACAGTCGTGTAATACCATATAAAATGTATGAAATTACTGTATTTTTTTATTTTGTCCTTGATTTATATTCATATCACTGCATTGACTTTACATGAGACTTGAAAACTTTATTCTTGCTTCTGAATAAAATTTTTTTCCAAATATAATACATGTATGCCCAAGATGAGGACAAACTTTTTATCAAAAATTAATGCAGAAAATGTTGCAATAAATAAGAGGTTTTCTTTTCTTAAAAATGTAGAGAAATCTTTTCAAGCATTCTGGTAAAACAAACTCTGTACCGAAGTTGCATTCTGTAGAATTGTCTTGCTTATCCTTATGCAAGATCAATAAATTTGGCACCAATGGTAAACTGATCCCATGATACCCCAAAATGAAGGACCAGAAGTTGCAGCAGGATTGCAACAGCATTTCTCTCTCAATAAAATTGTGTAGACTGTAGACATCCATTTTCCTACATGACCCTCCTGCAATAAAAATGAAATTGTAAATGTGAATTTCTGTTAAGTAATACATGAAAAACTGTATATTTATATTTTTTATTATTTCTTATATTCAGTTATGCTTCTCTCTTTGTAAGGCCTAAATTTTCTTTTTTTTTCAAAGCTTCTAAACGACATAATTGATACATCTATTTTCATTTTGTCTCCTTATAATTTTGATGGTTTATAATGTAGCATGTCATTTTTTCTTTACTATTCATTAACAAATCCTTTTCTTAAAATCATGAATTACACTACCTATTTATCATTTCTTTAAAGTAATTTACTTCATTATAGCAATGCAATGAATATATTAATGAAAAGTAGGATTGAAGTTATCCTCAAAACATCTTACTCTGAATGTTTTTTTCATTATTAAACATGTTTAACTTTAGAAATGAGCTTCAAACTGGTATGCAATACATGTACTTACATATGTACTGTGCAGGTAAATTAATACTTTACTCCTGCAGCTATTTTCTCTGCCTCAACAACGAAGAGCGGAGTATTGGTCCACCTTACTCCTTTTAAGCAGGTCCAATATTTCCCTCTCTCCAACAATAAATCATCTATCTGAAAGGGTATCCACCTCCATCTTGTCATCTTCATCAGTATTCCTTGAAAGAAAATATACAAGAGAAAATATTCACATTGTTTAAGATTTAAATCTTTCATGTAACATGCTACAGTAGCAATCTGTAAATCAAGACAAACAAAAAACCCACTGTAATTTACATGAATATTTAAGGGTATTAAACATATCATTGCATTCAGTTCCTTAGAGATTGAGACATTTTAATCATATCAAAAGACAGTAAACTTTTGAAATTATACCACTGTGTAGTAAATTGTATACTAATGTAGTAATAACATAAATTTAGGGAATCGCCTTTTGGGTATGCCAGGACATCAACAATATGCATAATAATAATTTGCATACAATGTTTTCTATACTAATAGATTTAAATCACATGGATCCTCTCTCTCAATTTCAAAAGTCCCTGTCCACTGAGGTTACACACAAATGAAGCCTTCTTAGCTGCTGATCTTTAACTTAGAGAAATTTTCATTCAGGTAGAATTATCAAGAAATCAACTCTCATAACTCTCAAAGAAATATCACAGAGAAAAACAAATAGAAATGGAAACAGAGTTATAATGTTTGTGACTTTCTATACCATCATTTTATATGATTTTTAGTGTGAGTTAAAAATGAATGTAACATATCTTTCCTACCTTTGTTTTACTCTATTTACAGCAGATGCTGTTTTTATAGTTATAAAAACTACTAAATTTGTTACTAATTCTTCATTACAGTGTGTCACCCACTTCGCAAAGTGGTTAAAGCATCTGCTTTAGATTCGTGAACTAAGGAGTCAATCTTTTTGTGGCGGGTTTGAATCCCACTGTAGGATGTGGATACCGGTCCTTTGGATGAGACTGTAAAAACTTAGGCCCTGTATCGCAGTAGCTAAGTGCTGCATGAAAAAGATCCCTGCCTGCTCAATAGACCTAAGACAAAATTTGCAACTCTCCACCAGCAAGTGGTGGCGCCTCCATATGAGTGAAATTTTTTGAGACGGTCGTTAAAAAATATACAATCAATCAATCATTAAATCAATCAATCAGCATGTGCCATTCAAAAACCTTGACATATCTTTTCACATCTTATATTCATCGCCCCCAGCCGGCCGCCTCTTAATTTCTTCACCACTTTCACCATTATCATCATCCTTATAACCAGAAGATCCAACGAAGCATCTCGTTCATGATCTTATCTATTTGATTAGTATCCTGTGTGTTTTAAGAGATAATGACAGATTGATTTATTATATTACTGCAATATTCATATAAGACAAATCAAATACATGTGATTAATTATTCTGATTTCTTCAGTTATAAAAAAAACTGAAAAACAAATCCCAAAACTAATTTTGTGACAATGGTAAAATAGATTGTGTTGGGCCATAACTGAATGCAAATACAGCATGTGTAAATATTATTATATGCATCTGGTCAAGTCTGCAATGCACTTATCTCACTTGCATTAAAGGAAATAAATGAGTTATAAATGAATATTACTTGCTTGAAGATTAGTAGTGCACAGATACTTTAATACTTTTCATTTTTGCATTCTAGTTAGTACTTACTGTACATGTTCATGATGTGCACCAGGTGCTCGGTTTCATCATCGTCACAATAACTTGCATTGTCCGAAATATCGATGTTCATACTGCTGACACTCTAAAGCAATATAAAACGATTTAATTTTACAATTCGCCAACAATTGTACTTATCTATTGTCACTTTTATTCGTAAACAGCTATAATAATTGCTCCCCTGTGTTGACACATGTGCTTTTGGATCTACTTTCATTTTCACTCCAGTCTTTCCTTTGCGCATGGCCAAGACATAACACGGTCAAATCGTGCTGAGTGCAGACCTGTCGTCGGTCGGTCAGCTGAGGTCCTGTCACATTGCAAACTTTTTACAAAGTAAATATATCTTTTGGTTCGTAATTTATTTTTTAGGTGCTTTTGCATTTATGCTCGTTTATCTTACCTACGGCTCCGTCTTGGATATTTACAACCAGGAACTTCAGCTTTTTAGTGCACATGGACTGCAGCTGCAAAAGTACCAACTTCTGTGACTATGTAACTGCGTGTTATCAGCGTTGCTCAACACCAAAGATGCTTTCAAAAGCATTTATTTTATCTCAGAATTTGAGATACGTCTGCCTTTTATTTTATTGAATAAAAATTTTACAAATAGGCCTTGGCGAATATCCTATTCGAATGACACCGACTGACTAAATCAGTCGTGCGTGAACACACAATTGGGTGATACCTGGTAGGCAGATAGTAGGCTTATCGAAAACTAATATGGCCGACTCCGATTTGGCATTTAAAAGACTTCAGTAGAGCTTTAAACCCGTTATATGTACATACTCATTGACAATACATCAAAGGCATGCAGCAACCAGTTAACGTTGGCGGATTTAATCTCACTGACGCGAGGATTGACACTAATTTTCTCAACAGATCATAAGAAGCTTGTGTGGAGACCTCTAGTGCAAGCGTCACACTGTCCCAAAATTGACACCAGATGGCCATACGAAATTGAAATTTTGAATTTCGCACGAAGTTGGTCCCGAAATTGGTCACTAGCTAATCACCAGCTGAAGGAAGTACGATACCTACTGATGGTCACACGATGAAACCCGAAGCACACACGAAGGCTACATGAAAATGTGATTTTTTATTGAGATGTTTACCCGAAGGACACACAAAGGCAATATGATGGCAACAAGACGTCGTATTTAGAGTACGATGCGTTCGAATCAAGTCACAAAGGTGTCATGTGACCTTCAGCGGGTATAAAACCTTTGGCCGACTGTTGGAAATTTCAATTGCTCATTGGTAAACTTTGCGTGATCATAAACTTCAACTTTGGTTCCACTTTCATTTAAGTTAAAATGCCACCCAAGGCAGGGAGAGGCAGAGGGAAGAAGCAGGCTGGGAGATGCAAATCTAAAAAAAGAAAAGCAGAAGAAACTGAGATTTTGGATGTCCAAGAAGACACCACTCAGTCTCCATCCAGGCAGATGATAGGAAGAAAATCCAGGAAGCATATCAGTCAGTGTGGATGTAAAACTCCAGAGAGGTCTTCAGACGGTTGTAGACCTCCTCAGCAGTCCCAAGAGTCTCCGCAGCATTCACCCTCTCCCGCTCCCGCTCCTAACAGCCAGACAGAATCTCCAGATGATGGAGGTGAATTCTATAACTTAATTTTGGTGGTGGTGGTGGGGGGTGGGGTGTGTATGTGATTGATTTTGTTGTATATTCACATACATTTTTGTCTTGCATGCACTAATTTTTTTCATTAAATATTTTTACAGATGAGTCAGATTCATCCGCCCTTCCTACATGCAAGTCCAAGACCAAACCTCAAGTGGGCAAGGGCAACGGCAAGGGCGACAAAGGAAAAGGCAAGGTTCATAATGATAATCCACCCCCTGGTGCACCATACAGCTTTACAGAGGAGCGGGAGGAGGCAATCGCTCGCTGGGTAGAGAGTAAGAAGCTCCTTTATGACATGAAAGACAAACAGTACAAAGACAAGGCTTTAAGGAGGCAATTGTGGTAAGGAAAGGCTGCGGAGTACGAGGTAGATTGTAAGTATAAAAAAATCACACTAATTACATTGAAATATTTTAAACCTATTTCAAATACATGATGTACATCGCTGAAAATGAACACTTCAATGATTGTACTAATTTCTGTTATTACAGATGATTCAATTCAAAGATAGTACCACACACAAAGGACTCGATTCTCGAAGATGCGAGAGGGCCAACCCAACAAGAAATCCCAGCACAGGTCCGGTGATGGTTTGTCAAATGGTGAAGAGGAACATCCCAACCCTACTGAAGAGGCCAGTGAGAATGATAGTGACCGTGATAGGTTCATCCGACTGGTCTTTGGGTTCCTGAAGCCACACATCAGACGTCACAAAAAGGATACACCAGCTAGTGTGAGAATATTACAGAATTTGCATTTGTAAAATTCAAACTAAACTTTTTGATTTCTAAACATTTGTTTTAAAATATAACTGCGAAATGTAATTATGTTTGTTTTCTGTGTTTCTCTTTGCAGTTTAAGGACAAGTTGGTCCTGGCTGAGACGGGTGAGCTGGCTGGGAGTGACGACAGTACCATGGCAGTCAGTCTTGCAGACGAACCCAGGGAGCCCACTAAGAAGTATACTGGCTACCCTACACCGAGACCTCCTTCCAGGACAAGAAGAGCTGCCAAGGACCGATCTGAGTCTCCAACCATGGAGATGAGAGCTACCACAGCATCAAATGATCTCCAAGATAGACTGGTTAACTTCATCACTCGAGAACAGGAAGTCAACAGAGCCACACCTTTCTGCAGGTACCTGAAAACTGAACTGGATCGTCTACATGATGCCTAATGAAAACACCACAGTACTTAACCAGTAGGTGTTTAAAACTGTAAGAAATTGAAAATAATTTATTTGATGTTGAATTTATTGCATGCAAAATTTGATCTTGTATTAATTCTATGCTGTTTATGTTTGTCTTTTCAGTTATCGAAAGGTATCCAAACAGTTCAGAATGAGGGATGCGGCTGGTAACAAGATCAGTCCCTTCAAAGATGCCCCGTCAGCATTCCAGTCACAGCAGCCACAGCAGCAAAGGCCAGGTACTGTGATCCCAGTCTGCGCATCTGCCACCCACTCCAGAGTAAGCCAACTTCAACAGGAGAGTGGTATCAACTACGCTGCCAGCAGAACTGCGTCCTCACCGTCAGCCGAGTTCCAGCCAGGTCCAAGCCAGTGGCCTAGGAACCCACCTCCGGCATCAGTGTGGAGATCACAGTAGTGTGGCTACGTGGAGCAGGCGAACCAACAGTACAACTTAGAACAACAGCAGCAGTACCATACCCTGCAGCCAGCCAGCACTTCTGCCCAGGGCTACGTACGCAAACCAGATAGTCCTATTGTCTAGGAGTGTCCGGAACCCAGGTCCGACATGCCCATAGTCACCAGAGTGGGTTCACATTCTCTCGGCCAGTCTGCGTTCGTCCAACTTCATTCTCGGCCTCCTCAGCAGCAACCCAGAGGTCCTAGTCAGCTAACACCCCAGCAGACAACTCAACGCGTCCTCTTCCGCCCCATCTTTCAGCTCAGCAGTCCCAGCACAGTGTGACACAAGATAGTCTCAGATAATATCTAAACGCAGACGACAGTGTGAATATCAACAAAGATATTGATCTCTCAGCTTTAGTGCCAAATGACGACATTGTTAACAACAGCAAGTAACCAGAAATTTAGAGACAGGCCCAGGAAAATGACCAGAGACAGTTTCAGAAAGTATCTGAAAAAATGAATAATTAAAATTGTCATTGATATTTTCAGACTTTGTTCTTATTTTGCTCTTTATCCTTACTTTAGTTTTAAAGTAAAGATGTTAAGTTAAATGTTATGTCCAATATCTAAATTTAAAGTCCCAATTAGGGATTTATATACTTGAATGTTTTGCCTTTTTCCTAAGTTTAAAATTCCCAGCAATGTTAAATACATTACCCAGAGCCCTGAATAAAAACTTGAATTTAAAATCCCAAACCAAAATTCATACTAGCCTTTGTCATTAGTTAAAATTTTCGAGGAAGTTAAATCTATTGGCCAAGTTCTACACTAAGTATCTTAAGTTAAGAACGCATATTAGAGGTGGAACGGTTTTAAATTTTCATGTCGTCAGAAAAGTAAAAGTTAATTTAATATGACTTTACATTTAGGAAACTTGGGATTTTTAAACTCTCTATATGTTAGGCCTCTATTCAATTAATGAAAAAGTACTTAAAAACACAAGTTTAAAACACCGTACAAATTTATTACTTCATACATATGTATGTAGTTACAATGCAAAACATGTATGTGAAAATATTTGTTTTCATAATCACAATGTTAATGTCTCTCTGTTCATTTTGCTGTCCCTCTTTGTCGGACATTACATGATCATCTTGTCCTGCCAAGGCACAGAACCAGCCACTGAGGTAAAGTAGTGGCACAAGTATCTTCAAATGATCCACGTCCATCAGGTTGGCGTGGGTGGCTGGATATTTAAGTCTGATGAGATTGTGAAGGATCACACAAGTTTTAATGATTTTCCTGCATGTCTCGGGTCTCTGAGTCATGGTCCCCAGCAACATTCGGAACTTGTGTGCCAGAATACCGAAGGCATTCTCCACTACACGTCTGGCTCTTGAGAGTCTATAGTTGAATATTCTCTGATTTCTCTCGTGGTGTTCCATGTTTCTGATGGAAAACGGGTTCATCAGGCGCTTGTTGATCGCAAAAGCATTGTCCCCTACTATATAGTATGGGACAGGAACGTCATCACCAGGTAGAGACTTCTCTTCAGGGAGATTAAACATGTTGTTCGTACTTTCTAGGCTTTCCTTCAATTCTGATCCATTATAAACACTAGCGTTGTTGCTGGAGCCATCAGACCCGACATTAATCCAAAGAAACTTGTAGTTTGCATCAACCAAGGCCATGAGGACCATAGAGAAGAAGCCTTTGTAGTTTCTGTACTCAGAGCCAGTATTCCATGGACAAGTGATCGCCACACGCTTGCCATCTAAAGCACCACAGCAGTGTGGAAATTGCCATCTCTTTTCAAACTGCTCCTCAATGGCTGTCCACTCTTCAGATGTAGTAGGACACTGGATCACCTCAGCAGCAAACTCGGTTTTGATGGCATCGCAAACTTCGTCTATGGCGAAGGAGATCGTGTTTGGAGCAACTCTGAAATTGTAGGACAGGCTTGGATAGTTGTCTCCGCAGGCCAGGTGTCGTAGAGTGATGGACAGCTTGAGACCAGGAGGAAGACACTTTCTATACCATGTGTCCTTCTTTTTTATTCTACCTTCTACCCGTTTCAGGACTTGATCGTAGAGGCCTTTGGGAAGCCTTGTATAGTTGTAGAAGGCCTTCTCATCCTCTGCTTTCAGTTCATTTAATAAAGTGGTATAGTGGCCATAGCGTTTTCTACGCTTTACAGACAGCCATTTCCTGACCCACACAGACCTCTGTTTTCTCCTTCGCCGCGTTTTCCCCGTGTTCTGGAAAATAACAAGCAAAACAAAATAGTACTATGTCAAATGCTACAAACACAAATAAATAGAAACGACAGTTGAAATGAGACAATTTATACCTGTAAGAGGAGGTGCTGAGCCTGGAAGAGTTCCTCGTCATGATTTCTGAGGTGCATCAAAAGAAGTAATGCTGCTGCCTTCTTTTTTCTTGTTTTTTCATTATCAAAGTATGTCATTCTGCTAGAACTGAATTGTGATTAAAGTAAAGCTTTGGTTGCTGTAGACGCCATTGCTCTGTAGATTTGCTGAATGAATGAGGAAGATGCTCTGATACTGGCCTTTTATATATGCACGTTACCATAACACATGGGAAACGCTTCAGCTATTCAAATTGCTGTCTTCGCCGACACCGTGGTCCCATCTCGATATCATCGTAATATAATACGATGTCCATACGCTGGCATTGCGAGGGCTTCACGTGGTCGTGTTGACTTCATGAAACAATCGGGCTGGTTCTTGTTTCCTTCGCATTGTCTTCGTGAGACGCTAAATGCCCGATGACACCGATGATCACAGTAAGTAAAGGCGAAGATGACACGATTTGACAAGATGCCCCCACGATGGTCTTACGAAGGGCAAAATGGACACACGAATTTATAACCTTTGCAATGTGTTCGGCAAATTTTTTGACAGCCAAAGATTTTGCTACCACTCAGGAAGTTGCTGCCGAAGTCTTAGAAACTCCACCGGCGCTCATACGATGTCTTAAGAAACCGTCACTATGGCCCGATGTGTTTACGATAAGAGCCGAATTTAAACATTTCCTTTATCGTGTGGCCATCTTTGCTCAATTTCGGGACAGTGTGACGCCAGCATTATGGAATACCAGCTTACAGATCGACTTAAGTTTTCCATTCATGGACCGATCATAGGGGTTGACGTTCTTCGGTAGTAAAGAGAGTGGAACAAAACTCGTGCAAATTTTGTTTTTGTGAATCAAGTTAATGAAGTCCTTATTTTAATGAGCTTTAAAAACATCAAATATTGTCAGTGCTGTGCACTTTTGTCGTCTCCCGCGACGAATTCCCTTTCTTACTTTATCAACATACGGGATCAGAACCTTATTTGCATATTCAATCATTGTTTCGGCGGTCGAACAGTGATTTCGAGAATGGGTGACATTCCAATCTTAAGGAAATGAGAACGAAGGAGGACATATATCCGTTAATTCTTTGTAAATCAATTGAAACGGTAACAATGATCCCGTCAAAGATATACCGACAATACCAGTTATCTCTCTTTTGAAATCCAATGCCACAATGCTACAATCTTTCGATCTGAAACGGAAATTGGTTTTGTGATTCAGTTTCGTTTTAACGTTAGGCCTACGTTCTTATATAAATTCTTAAACACTAAAAAATATTAATTTTACAATCATACAAGTAGTATGAAGCTGTCTATGTACTGGGACTGACTGCACTGAGGTAGCACATGCCGTGCTACGGAAACTCAGGGTACCTTTCTGGTGGCAGGCTTGTTGAGGCTTGACTGTCGATTCTCTTGAGCTTGTGATAAGACCTGAATAAGACACACTGTTTCGGGGAATGGGCAGGTAGGGGTCACCAATATTAGCTAATACGTAAGACCTGTATAAGGCAGTAGGCTGATGGAGAGAGAGAGGTGGCATACCACAGAAGTGGGGGAAGTGCAAAGATGCAGCAGTACGTTTAGAGTGGCAGGACCGAAGTAATTCATTTGCGGGAGACACCCGTTGACCACAGTTAGTGGTTGTCCAATCAAGAAGAAACCCATTGTATTTGTATATATTTGATTGTTATTTTATTTGGTCAACAAAAACCTGAGTTAACAGGTTAACGAACCTAGTGTGACGCCTCGGTGATACAAGACATATCACCAAACACACCAAGCTCGGCCGCGTTGCACGTTACAGATCATTTAACTTCGAGAGTCCATTCAATAGTTGGGACCATTTTTAACCTTGTCTGATAAAAATGTGTTATCAACTCACGTGAAATGTTCTTTGACACATTTTGTAATTTTATCAAGAAAATCTCCTTTGATTTTTTCGATATAACCAGACAGTTTGCGAGCGGTTTTTGTGCCTTTTCTTTTTCTTCTCATTAAGGTATGTCACTCGTGATATTTTGAGTAGTACGAGGGCTGTTCAATTATTAATGTCCTCGATGCTCAGAAAGCAGCAAACGACGCTTTTCAATAATTTAATCTTCATGATTTTACTTATTAATCTTTTTGAATTCAAACACATGTCCGTAACATTTTGTATTGAATTTTTGATTGTTTTTAGAACTTATTTTTAGTATGAACCTTAGT